GCCTGGCATACAGCAGGTGCTCAGTGCTTGCAGGGTGAACGACAGCAGGGCTGATGAAGGGAGCCGGCCTCCCACCCTGCCCTGACTGTCCCCAGGAAGCCGCTGGTCAGTGACTGTCCTCAGACTGCCCCATCTTGCCATGGAGGACAGCATCCTGAGAGCGGACCATCAGAGCCAGGTTCAAATGTCCCCTGGCCAGGTGACTTGGGGCCACAGCCTTCAGTCCCCTCTTAGAACAGTGCCACCCAGCAGAAGTCTCAGGGGAACTACAGATGTCATCTGAAATTTTCTAGTGGTCACATTGAGAAAAGTGAATATAACCAAGAGCACTTAATTTTGGTGATATTTTATTTAACCAATATACCTAAAATATTATTTGAATATGTGATCAGATACTAAAGAGATATTTTACTTGCTTTTTTGGTATGAGTCTTCAAAATCTGTGGAGTATCTTACACTCACGGCACATCTCAGTGTGCACGCACCGTACTTCAAATGCTCCCCCTGCCAGCGATGTCCTGTGGCCACCAGCATGGACAGTGCAGCCCTCCAGCCCTCGTCCTTGCTGGGGATAACGCCGTCCCTCCCTAGGGCCTGGTCTGCAAAGCCCTGGCAGGACAGTAGGTGTACACAACCCAGGAGTTGCCCTCTCTCCCCAAGGCCTCTCGCCTCTGAGACACCCTGAGATGAGTCACTCTGCTGCCTCAGATGGTTCAGCATCCGATGGCCTTTGCTGACTCCCTGCTGTGCATGGCTGGTGGGCTCTGTCCCACGCAAAGCTCACCCACAAAGCAAACAGGAGCCAGCAACAGCTGCACGGGCCATCACCCCAGCCACTCACATGAGCCAGGATTAGGGGCAGCCCCTATGCCTGGTCATGTCTGAGGCTGGCACATGATGGGAGGCACTCAGTGTCCCCTGGCAGCTGGGGGTGGGGCTGGAGGGTGCAGCCATGCAGAGGGAAGGCCCCCCCTGTTCAGAATCTTCCATGCCTCCAGCCCCGCCCCCCCTTCCAGCCTCAGGTCTCCCCACCTCCTGTGTGCCTTCAACTCAACGCTCCTGCAATTCCTAGACAGCGCCATCGGCTTCTGGCCTCTGGGCCTTCGCACATATTGTTCCCTCCACCTGGAGCCCCCTTCCCTGTGCTCACCTCCAGGCTGGCCTGGGTCACTGTGGTCCTCCCTCTGGCTGCTTCCTCAAGGAAGCCCTTGCTGACAATTCTGACTTGATTGTGGTGCGTGTTAGAAATTTCCTGCCTTGCTCGGGAGCCCAGGGGTTCCAAGTTTCTAACAGACTTCCCCAGAATACAAGGTTCCCCCCAATCTCCTGCCTCCCCTCCGTCTCTCTCGACTGCCCCATGGTAGAAGACCACTGAGATGGGGACAATGCATTCACCCCCATGATCATTTATGGTCAACAGAAGAGATGAGTTAGCAGGGGACTGGGCCACAAGCCTCCCTCAACACACGTGGAAATAGGCCTGGGATGGGCTTAGGTGGCTGGAGGGTGGAGGCCACCAGGGAACCCACGTCAGTGGAGGAAGGCCTGGCATGGGCCTAGGCCCTCTGAAGGGAGCAGAGCTACAAGCACCCAGAGGGCCCTGGGGCAGAGCCAGCACAAGGTCACCTTAAGAAAGCTCTGCCTAATGGAGGTAGTGAGCGCCCCATCCCCGGAGGCATACAAGCAGCCGCACCAGGTGCTGGGAAAAGGATTGCACCTTTGTACAGAGGGTTGGTTTGTCTTTTTATGGGGTTTCCTTTCAGTACTCAGGATTTAGGCATGGCCCAAGGTCACTGGCAAGGCCTGAAGAGGGCTGTCCCACCCACCCAGGCCATTCCACCTCTCAGGGCCAATCATTAATGGGCACCGCTTGAGTGGCTGCTCCCACCAATGCCCCCGGCTGCCTGCCAGCTCATGGCCCGGCCCCTGGCCCATGCCCGGGGCACCCAGCACGCCTCTAACATGGGCCGGCCTTGCTGCTCACACAACTTCCTGCTCGTGACTCCCGGCAGCTGAGCCCTGGGAGGAGCAAAGTGCCTTCCCAGACCACCATCAGCACACCCAGAAGGATTCCTGCTGCCTGTCAAATGCAGCCCAGCTCGGCCTGCAGCCAGAGCCCTCCAGGGTGAGAGCTGGGCCTTCATCAGAGGGCAGCGGGGAGCCACACGAGGGCTGCAAGCAGGGCAGCGAGACCGCAAGCCTGGGCTTCAAAAAGCCCACCCACCCAGAGGCAGGGTGCAGGGAGAGCCAGGAGGCAGGCCTGAGAGCTGTCATGGGGATGGAGTGTCCGGATGTGGCCGCAGCCTGCTGTGGACAAGGCAGAGCCGGGGAAGGGGTGAAAAGGCGTTCCGCAGTGGGGAAATCAGATGTGAATAGCAGTGTGTGTTGGGGCAGGGGCGGGAGGTACTCCCAGGCCAAAACAGCCGGAGCAAAGGCCTGGAGGTGAGAAGGGGCCTGGTGTACTTGGAGGAGAGAGAGAAGCCAGGTATGGCTGGAGCTCTGGTTTCCAGAAGGGATGCAGCGAAATAAGGGTGAGGTACGGGAGGAGGCTACTCAGACTCCAGGCTTAAGAGTTAACTTTCTCCTTGGGCAATAGGGAGCTACTGCAGGTTTTGGAGGAAGGGCGTGACGTGGCTGGATTCTGTTTAACCCAGGACCTGGGGCTGGTGAGGGGAGGAGGCGGTGAGAGCTGCAGGGTGGATGGAGAAACGACACCAGGTTTCTGCTGAGACGACTGGATGTTCAGTTTGGGGCTGGGGTTGGGGTGCTGGGGACAAGAGACTTAAGCAGCAAGCAGCTGAGTGTGCCGAGACAGAGTTCCCGTGGGCCAGTGGGGACTGAAGCGTGGGGCAGGAACAAGCCCCGGCTGTGAGGGCAGAATGGCAGAGAGTGTCCCAGGGGGTCCTCAGGGACGGACACTTCCTGGCCCAGGCAGGGCTGAGAAGGAGGAGCTCGAGAGACAGGAGGAAGCCCCGGCAGGCTAGCAGGGGCCCAGAGGCCAAGAAAGAGGGGGGACAGTCAGCACACTGGTGGCCTGGACAAGAAGCGATGGGAGTGAGAGAGGGTGAGGTGGGGACAGTGGCATGAACAGCTCTGCCAAGAAGTGTGCCTCTGAGATTCCCGTGACCACGAGAGGGGCATTCACAGGGGGGCTCCCTAGAAGCAGAGTCTGAGAGGAGCCAGGGAAGCAGGACGCTAGCTCTGCTGGCCTGAGCCCGACCCCCAAGGGAGCCCGCAGAGCGGCCCCATCTGGAGGCAAGGGGTGGCCTCCTGTACCCCTGCATCAGTCCCTCCTCACGGGCAGAGCTGCGGACCATCCCACTCTTGCTAGGCCCAGGGCTGCTCCCCAACAAGGACCAGTGGCGAGCTGCGGACAGCGATCCTCACGGCTCCGGGGACCAGTGTGGTGCTCAGTGACAGTGATCTGGGTGGGCACCAACAGCGTCCACCAGGAGGGGCGAGCAGCTGGCGGGGCCAGCATCACACCTCTGGGCTTCGGACAGTCGACAGGAGTCATGTGTTCACTGGGGTGCTGTAGGTGAAACCTCCGCCTGGGCCCTGACACCGAGGAGAGGCTCAGGGCAGCCACTGTGTCCCTCTCTCCTGTGTCTCATAGTCCCAAGTAAAGTCCAAGTTCTCATCCTCTGCCGAGGCACAGGACAATTCCCACGCCCTCTCTTTGCACAGAGAGGCAGCAAGGGTCCCCAGAAGGAGCAGCGGACCCCTGGATCTGCACTCAGCTCCACCAAATGCAAACCTCAAACTCCCCGGGGGCCTCAGTTTCCTCAGCTGTGAAGTGGGGATGCCCACGGCTGCCTCAGAGCCCAGGGTGTCAGGGCTGAGGGGCCAGGCAGGCAGGTGGGCACCTGGCAGGAAGCAGCACCTGTGCTGACACCCTCCCACTGAGGTGCATGCAGGCAGCAGCCCCACCCTCCCCAGCTGGCACCTGGAAGAGGGAGCTGCACTTGGGTGGTGGGGCCCCAGGGAGGGGGCGGTGCCACCCTCCTGGCCGTGCCAGGTGCCACCCACGGACAGCTCACCACAAAAGGGCCCCCAGGGGCTTTCCCCTGTGCCACCCCCAGCCCCACGCCAGTGTTCCAAGCCCTGCAGAGCCATGCTCTGGCCTGGGTCCCAGCAGCTGAGGCTCTGCTCAGTGGCCCCAGGCTCCTTGGCCCTCGGGATGGGAAGGACATGCTGTGTCCACAGGCCGGGCACCCCTGCAAGCCTGGCACTGTGCCTCAAGTTTTCATTCCCCCATCTGACCCTCACAGTGACCTGGAGGGCAGGTGGCCCCACTATTCCAACTTTCATGCATTCAACAGCAGTTCATTGAGCACATATTGCATGCAAGCACTGGGAGAGGCACTGGGGACCCAGACGAGGGCATGCCGGCCCAGAGATCACATTACAAATGAGGAAACTGAGGCCCTGGAATCCTTTCCACTCACGAAATCACGACAACATTTATATAGCGCTCCATAGGGGCCAGGCACTGTTCTCATCCAGCACCCTACAACGTCACACAGTAAATACTCCTTGGAGGCACGGAGATGAAGCCACGTGTCTAGGTCTACACAGCTGCTAAGTGCTAAGCAGCACCTGCACCCACCCTGAACACTGCACCGTCCTGCCACACCACCAGCCTGTCAGGCTCGTGTCCTAGTCAGAACGACGTCCCCCCACCCCACTGCCTAGAGCGAGGGCCCTTGTCCACACACACAGCCTGGTTCCCATCAAGGCTTCCCCCACCCCAGACGCATAGTGTCCCAGAGGCCAGGCCAGGTCTCGTTCCTCCTGGGGTTCCGGCCCCCACCCGGGCCAGGCGTGGGCAAGGGTTCGGGAAAAGGCTGCTGACAGCACAGAAATCGGCCAGCGGGCGGCACGTGCAGAACAGCACTTGTGGGCAGCCTGGCCTGGCCTTGCCTTTTGAGAGCAGTGAGTGACCTAGTCCCTGCCCTGGGCCCCGTGGCCAGGCCCCTGGAGCCCAGAGGCGCCCTTACCTACTCGGAGCTCTTGCCCGAAGACGGTCCTCTCACCGAGGGCGGAGCAGTTCCAGCGGCCGAAGCGGAACTGGTACTGGCACTCGTTGATGCCCATCTGCGCCCCCTCCCCGATCACAATGATGGCATCGGGGCGGCTCTGGCAGATGGCGCGCTGCCGCGGGGCCAAGCCAGGAATCTTGTTGCAGATGATGTTGGCTCCCAGGGCCACCACGGACGACAGTGCTCTGCGGAGGCAGGGAGAGCAGACAGGCGGTGAGGGCGGCAGGCGGGGCCTTCCCCATCCCCCCAACCCCCGCTGTCAGTCAGCGTGTGGTCACCAAGCCCCTGCCACATGCTAAGCTCTGCTCCCCAGAGAACAGGCAGACCCCTGCCCTGGAGGGTCATTTGCCGTCAACTCACACACGTGCTCCCAGCTTGAAAAGACACACGCAACCAGGCCCTCTCAGCCTCGGAACTGCAGAACCACGGAATCACGAGTGCCACGGAATGTGTGAACCATGGTTCCTCACGCCTCAGGTCACAGAAAGTCACACTCCGGCTTTGAAAGCCATCAGCTTGGGACTGTCCCCAGCTGTCTCTGAGCAGCAAACCCATCACTTGCAGGTCCCCAGCTCCCACCCCACCCTGGCCAAGGCAGGCTGCTGGGTGGGCCAGCAAACCAGGAGCCAAGCACACCGGGTACTGACGCCACGCCAAGGTGCGTGTGACCTTGGGAAGGCATGCCACCGCTCTGAGCTTCCGTTTCCACCTGCCCCCACTGCCACGCAGACTCTGACGACCACAGGGAGAAAGGCTGCCCAGCAAGGGCTGAAGGACTGGGTGCACTCAGAGGAGAAAAGGGGATTGTTGCGAATTGAGCACCTGCTGTGTGCTGGGCACGGCAGGGTGCTTCATGGCAACATTGTAGCCTCACAGCAGTCCCCTGAGGGTGCCTTCGTAAGGCATCTCCTGGCAACTCCCAGGAATTGAACCCCACACAGGAAGCCACTTGCCAGACTCACTCTGAACTTGAGGTGTTATCAGCAGGATTGTTTGTTTAATGAGGTGAAATTCTTGTAACATAAAATTCACCATTTTAATGTGTACAGTTCTGCGGCATTTAGTACGTTCAGTGTTGTAGAACCACCACCTCGTCAAGTTCCAAGATATTTTCACGAGCCCGAGAGGAAACTCGGCCCCCATTAGCAGTCACTCCCTTCTCTTGTCCTCCCACCCCCAGGCGGCCACTTGTCTGCTTTCTGTTCCTATGCACGCGTCTATTCTGGACATTTCACGCACATGGAACCGTACCACGGGTGACCTTCTGTGTGCAGCTTCTTTCACTCAGCATCCTGCTCTCCAGGCTCAGCCAGGTGGCAGCACGCATCGGCGCCTCATTCCTTTTATGGCTGAGTAATGTTCCATTGTGTGGAGAGACATTTGGCTTTTCCATTCATCCCTGATGCCCATTTGGTTTGTTTCCACCTTTTGGCTATTGTGAGTGGTGCTGCTATGAACGTGTGTGTACAAGTTTCTGTTTAAACACCTGACTCCAGTCATTGGGGCATATACGTAAGAGTGGAATTGCTGGGTCATATGGTAATTATTTAACCTTTCAAGGAATTGCCAAACTGCTTTCCACAGCGGCTGCACCAATTGTTTGCTTTTAAGCACGCAGAGAAGGGGCATCAAGCTGGAAGGACGGGGGGCCAGTCTCAGGCGGGCCTAGGGCAACAAGTGGGTTTCAAAACAGCTTCTGGCATCAAAACAACAGACCCGGCCTGCTAAGTCAGTGGCAAAATGGGGGAGTGGGGGGACCACTGGGGCCCCCCAAAACTGATGCCCATGGCCCTGGGCCCCCAGTGCGGTGGGGACCCTCCTTCCACCCACTGCCTGCCGGCCCCTTGCTTGAGAGAGACAAGTCAGTGTTTTTCCAGAATGGCAGAGCACCGAAAGCCAGCTGGAAAGTCCCCATGTGGCCTGAGCCCACAGCACGTGCCGCAGCTGGGACACCCAGGCCGACACTCAATCCCCGTGGCCCGCCCGCCCCGCCCGCTAATCTGGCCAAGACCCCCCTGGGTCTCCCACGGGTACAATGGGCAGAAACGCCCCAGACTGGCGTTGAGGAAGAGCATCTGGACGGGTGGGGCTGGGAGCGGGCTGGAATCTGGGGAATTCAGCCCAAGTAATTGTAGATCCTCGGAAAACCGAGCTGGGGAAATGAGATGGATGGGAACCGTGCCGCGCACCAGCCTCCGGGGGTTGGAGCCTGCCTTGGGTCCTGCACCCAAAGGATGCTTCCCATTCCCAAATTCTTCAGCAGGCTCAGGGCCGCGAAGCCCCCACTGCCTGTGGGGCTTCTTACAAGCCCTGCTGGGAGCAGAAGCTCAGACAAACAGGGCCTGGCTGAGGGGACCCTATGGGGACTTAGGATGGACCCAGAGGCCAGCAATAAGTCATTGCTGTGGCCACAGCCCTGGCCTCCCACCTCTTCTGACCCACCAGAACCCAGATCTGACAGTGTCACTCTCCCACTCAAAGCCCACCCAAAGCTTCCACTGCCCATGAAACTATCCAAGCTCCTTTTCCTAAAATTAGGGGGCTCCGGGGTCTGGCCTCTGATGACCCCGCCCCTGCTCCCTCCATCCCCACCCCTCCCACCTTGGCTTGCGTCTGCAGGTCCGTCTGTCTGGGATGCTGCTCCCTGTCCCTTTTTCTGTCTGGCAAACTCTACTTCCCCTTCCAGGCCCAGGCGAATGCCCACTGTGCCCAACCCCCTCGACCCCTGGCACCGAGGAGGAGCGCAGTGGGCACTCATCCCCACACTCACGGTCACGGTCTTCATGCCTGGCTTTCCCACCAGACAGTGGACGCCTCCAGGACGGGGCTGCCTGGTGCGGTGGTCTCCGAGTGGTTGTGGAATCGGTGAATGAATAAACGAACGAGTCAATCCTCAAGAATTACATCTGAAAGAATGTCTATAACTCAACAGCAAGAAGACAAACCACCCAAGTTAAAAATGAGCAAAGGACTTGAATAGACGCTTTTCTGAAGAAGACACCCAAATGGCCAACAAGCACATGAAAAGATGCTCAACCTCACTCATCAGTGGGGGAATGCACATCAAAACCACGGTGAGATACCACCTCACATGCACAAGGGTGGCTACGATAAAAAAAAGACCCAGAAAATAATACGTGATGTCGAGGATGAGGAGAAATTGGAACCCTCGTGCATTGCTGGTGGGCGACAGCTCAGTGGTTCCTCAACAAATGAAACATACAGTCACCCAGCAAATCCTCTCCTTGGTATACATCCAAAAGAAGTGAAGACAGGTGTTTAAACAAAAACCTGTACAGAAATGTTCATAGCAGCACTATCCACAACAGCCAAAGGCTGCAAACAGCCCAGTGCCCACCTACGACAGATGGACACACACAACGTGGTCTTCTCTACACTGGAATATTATTTGGCCACAAAAGGGAATGAAGCCCTGATTTATGCTACAGTGTGGAAGAGCCTCACGACATGACGCTGAGTGCGAGAAGCCAGACACAGAAGAGCAGCCACTGTGTGATTGCACTCATGCGAAGTGTCCAAGACAGGCAATCCACAGCGACAGACAGCGGCAGAGTGGTGGCCAGGGGCCGGGGGGGGAGGGAACGGGGAGTGACCGCTAATGGGTGTGGAGTTTCCACCTGGGGTGATGAGCAAGTTAAGGAACTAGAGGGGGTGGTCGCATGGCACTGTGGAAGTGCTGAATGCCACTGAGCTGTGCACTTTAAAGTGGTTAAAGTGGCAAATTGCATTTTATGTGTATTTTAACCACAACGTAAAGGAATTGTATTTACACACAGACTTCTACAGCTGATGCAGTGGAAGGGGACGCGAGGGGCCTTGCCCAGCCGGTGCCCCACTTGTACCCTCCTGGGCACGTACCAGAGGCGGGCGGGGCTGATGGGGTTGGGGAACTGGGCCCCCGGCCGTCCCCCAGCTGTCCCCCGGCATGCCAGGTGAAGTAAAGTTGTCAGGGAACAGAGTCACACTGTATTTTGTGCCAGGAGCATAAACAACCAGAAATGGTTGATAATTCAGAAATAATTTCAAAATTGTCTCCCTGAGTATGTGGGGTTTTCCACTAACGATACTAAGCACTCCCACTCTGAGGGCCAGCCTTGGGCAAGGTGGACCCCGCTGTGTCCCACTTCATCCTCACCTTGTAAGGTAAGCTGTGCCGTCCCCACTCTACAGGTGTGGAGACTGGAGCTCAGAGAGGCTAGGGGACCTGCCCGAGGCCACACAGCCACGCTCGGAGCCAGGTCTCCGCTTCCACCCAGAACTCAGGTGCAGCAGCACCGTGGATCAGAGAACCTCGTGTGGCAAGTGCTGGAAGACAGCCCCGCGTGGGACGAGGCCCGTTTCTCGTTCTCAAACAGCTTAAGTCCTTCTCTGGCTTAAAATCCTCCAGATGATTCATTAATTCATTCCGGGCTGGCAGACAGCTTCTGTCGCTGGCGTTCGAGGTCTGGGTGCCCTCCCCAGCCCTCCACATGCACCCTACAGTCCGGCGCCACCCTCCCTGCCCTGCCACGCCCCACGCCTTGCCCACGCTGTCACTTGCACAGCGAGGAGGGGGCTGCAGATATGGGTGACTGGGACTGGTCCTCACCAGAAAACTGTCAGTAGGAAATGGGGTAAAAATACATTGTAACTCAGTAACCGCCACTTTGGAGGCGGCGAGAGGGGGGTGGGCAGGAGCCACATTTGGGGATCACCGGCAGCTGGGGGTGCGGGCATGCCTTGGGCCCTCTCCGCAGGCTTTCCTGCAGGGTGAGCCCGGCTTTCACCCCAAAGCAGCAAAGCTCCAGCTGCCTGCCCAGGTGCCCCGGGAGAGGCTGCCCAGGGAGGCTCCGAGCATCCCGTGAGCACAGAGGAGCCGGGCGGGGACATTCGGGTTTCAGTTGCTGACTTTTTCTGTGGAAAATTCTGCTCCAGGCTCGTCCTCCTGTGCTACTCAGGGGCTTCAGGTCACAGGCAGGATGCCAGGAGGACTGGGCCAAGTTGCAAGTCTCAAAACCTTCCTTACCCCTGGCCTGGGCCAGGCCCCTGAAAGGAGCTCAGAGAAGGATTTCAGCCCTGCAGACAAGAAGCTCCCTCCTCGTCCCCCAGGGACTGTGGACCAGGAAGGCCCTCCAGTCTCAGACCAGAGGCCAGCGGAGGGTGGGGAGGCACCATCTTCCTG